CAGTAGTAGTAGCAGTAGTAGTAGTAGTAGTAGTAGTAGTAGCAGTAGCAGTAGCAGCAGAAAGCAGCAGTAGTAGTAGTAGTAGTAGTAGTAGTAGCAGTAGTAGTAGCAGCAGTGCAGTAGCAGTAGTAGTGGTAGTAGTAGCAGCAGCAGCAGCAGTAGTAGTAGTAGCAGTAGTAGCAGTAGTAGTAGCAGCAGCAGTAGTAGCAGCAGCAGCAGCAGTAGTAGTAGTAGTAGCAGTAGTAGTAGTAGTAGTAGTAGTAGCAGCAGCAGTAGTAGTAGTAGCAGTAGTAGTAGTAGTAGTAGTAGTAGTAGTAGCAGCAGTACAGTAGTAGTAGTAGTAGTAGCAGTAGTAGTAGTAGTAGTAGTAGTAGTAGTAGTAGCAGTAGATGTTGCTGTTGTTGAAAGCATTAATAGTAGTAGTAGTTGTTATTGTTTTGAAAGTAGTAGTAGTAGCAGTGGTAGTAGTAGTAATAATAGTAGTAGCAGTAGCTGTAGTAGTAGTAATAGTAGCAGTAGTAATAGTAGTAGTCGGTAGTAGTTGCTGTAGTAGTTGTGGTGGGCGTAGTAGTGGTAAGAATAGGTAAGGTGGTGAGGTGAAATTGGGTTTAACGTCGTGCTTGAGAATATTTCGCTCATATGACGACGTGCATGCGTGTGTTTGTGTGCAGCTGCTTGTACTAGCCCAGACTTAAGCTGGTTTTATAGTGCTAGCCCACTGAGATACCATACGCAGTGAAGCATTAATACCCCACTCAGACACAGTATACTGACTCCGAGCCGACCAGTCCTTGTTGTACCCATTAATGCCGAGCGCCAGGCAGGAACCAACAAGTACCATATTTTTAACGTCTTTTGGTATGATGCGGTTGGGGATCGAACCCGCGACCTTCCACTCTCCGGGCGGACGCTCTAACCACTACACCACGGAGGCGGTCGGTAAGAATAGGTAGTAGTAGAAGAAGTGTTGTTGTTGTGTTTGGTTTTTAGTGTTGTTGTTGTTGCTGTTGTTATTGTTGTTGTTGTTGTTGTTGTGGTGGTGGTGGTGGTGGTGGTGGTGGTGGTGGATGTGACGGCGGTGGCGACAGCGTTTGTGCTGCAGTAACACCGACAGTGATGTACACATAAATTTGCATCCATGGTGAACTCCACGGATGATACAGCAGTAATTGGGCAAACATTACATGTTCCCATTTCTCTACAGTACGCAAAAACTAACAAAAATACATTATATCACCAAATCACAAATATATCATCATTCAGTCTATTTCCGCTTCGCATTGATACATTTGTCAGAATCGCCTAGCCCGCCACTATCTACACTGTGGCGAGTGTGAAATATACACCGGTGAATGAAACATACAAGCGTTTTGCAAAACAAAAAGTGACAGATGTGTGTATTAAAAGACGTCTGTTTTGGGGGTATTTTGTTTTGGAGGATGTGGGCCTTTTGTGGATCATTAATCGGTCTCGACCCAGGAGGGGCGGTGGGGTAGCCTAGTGGTTAAAGCGTTCGCTCGTCACGCCGAAGACCCGGGTTAGATTCCCACAAGGGTACAATGTGTGAAGCCCATTTCTGGTGTCGCCTGCTGCGATATTGCTGGAATATTGCTAAAAGCGGCGTAAAACTAAACTCACTCACTCACTCACTCGGAACTGTCCAAACTGATTGTGTCGCTGGTAGTTTCAGTTTTGTAAACGTACCAAAACAAATATGCTGAGACGACAACCGACCCGCGGCTAATCGTGAGTGCTGCTCTGCTGTAGGTAACAAATCCAGAGATGGTTGGTAGGCAATATTCCAGCTATATGACTTAAATATGTCTGTAAATAATGGAGTCTTGTCCAGACAATCCAGTGATCAACAACATGAGCATCAATCTACGCAATTGGGATACGATGACATGTGTCAACCAAGTCAGCGAGCCTGACCACCCGATCCCGTTAGTCGCCTCTGACGACAAGCATGGGTTACTGAAGACCAATTCTAACCCGGATCTCCACGTGTCCCAGAGATGGTATTGTGTTTTGATGAACACTAAAATGTCTGGCAACTTCTTCTTTCCCCATTCTAGTGGAATTTCAGCAAGAGGGATTTTTTTAGTGAAAACATATTAGATAAACAATCAGTGTTTGCTGTCCACATTCAAAAAGCACATGTCTGAGTATTAGGCTGCCATCAAACACGCAAACATCCGAATTGTGCGTCATGCATTAACCTGCACGTGCAAACCTCGCCAAGGAAATGTCTTCGTGAATATATATTGAAAATGCCGGCTTTTTTATCAAATTTTATATAAAATTTTGTTTTTCCACCTGACGACATCTATCAGAGTCCTGCCCACCTGTAAATACAGAAGACAGCGTCAGGATTTTGGCGAAACTGAATATTAACAGCCTGTTTATTCACAGTACCTGCCCACATACTTGTACACAAGCAAAGTGTCAGGCTAATTTCTTGCTTGTCGATGTGAACTAAAAAATCATCACTACATTCCACTTACTCTTTTTCAAAATAACACCTGAATTCAAAAACATAAAATCAAACATAAAAATGTCCCACAACAGCTGTGAGACAGACAGGGTTTTTTTCAAGTTACGAACGCACAATTTTAGCCCAAATCACGCAACAAAAACGAGATTCTCGTGCAATCACTTCATGCCATTCATTTGGGGTTTCCCTGTTTGAAGAGCTCCAATCAGGTGTCAATGCTTCCGCCATCTTGCTCGTTCAACAGTTCAGCTTTCAAATTATCCTCTTTTGGGGACGTAAGCGGCCCTCTCAACTATAAAATGCCGCTTATGGCATCGACACTTCCATTGTCGGTCCGTACGCCTCTGGAAACTCTCCAAGCAAAAACGCAGGTTAATTAGTAGAGCGACGAAAATTAAGAAATCTCCATCCGTTAAATACGAACGACGGATTATAACTCTTCCAAGACCCACGGCTATCTGAGTTCCTTTTGATACCATAATGCCGTGCGGTAGCGCCACTTTAGCAAAACTACTCTCCAGGAAACTGATTATCTGTATGCCCCTCTGACCGGGTAATCGTGTTCCGAACGCTCTGTTCAGTCTTGCGAAATCAATTTATCTTTTTTTTTCAAATTTTCGTTAATCATTTATTATTGGGTGTGTTGAAGTATTCCGTCGACCTGTTGCGTGGCCCGGGTTTGTTTTGAAAGCGAACGGGCGGCAATTTGATTTTAAATAAGTTTTCTTTCTTCATTTTCAAGTTTTTAAGTTTGTACATCACGTTAGTGCCAATAAAATGGTTTGTTTCAATCTTCGACCGTTTGCGATCTCGAAGTCGTGTCGTTTTTAATTATTATCGTAACGTAAAATAATAAATATTGTTGATGTTCACACACGTGTACTGTTGCAGCTGTGAGCCCTCCATGGGAAATAGTATTTTATTTTACAGGATGGACGCATGAACAATCTGGGGGAAGAAACTTGCATTATTTACTACAGCTACCGATGATAACTGAACGAAGATAATTATTGTATTATTAATATCAACAGTATTTGTTTTTCATTAATTGAAGATAAGCTCTTGTTAATATTGATAGTCTATTTAACCATAACTCATTCCTGCAACATAACGTAAAAAGTAATTTAGGGTAGTAATTTTGTCTAAAAAAATAAACTAGTTCAATGAAGTGATGGGAGACGAATTGATAGCCGAAGGACCCCTACCATGCTTGAAATTTGAATTTGATCCGACAAAAACACATCTATTGATCTCCTAAGACAAGATGTCGAAGATGTTCATCAGCTTTTGTGAACGATGGGAAAACTGTTTCTCTAATGTATTAAAGTTGTAAATCAGCCTATAATTTCATTAAAACTTAAATCAACCTATGGTTTTAAAAAAATTAAATCAACCGAAGATTTTTAAAAAACGTAAAATTGCTTAATGCATAGTGCATTTCATTTTCTGTGTATGATAAAACGTAACATTTTACAATTGAAAAAGAGTCTCATGATAAAATCAACTGAGATGTATAGTTTCTTTTTCTCATCAGCTTAAATTCTTAAGATTCTTGGATTTATGACGTCTCAGAAATTCATTCATAAGTTTCATCAGAAAAAGTTTTCATCAGAAAAAAATTATCTTTGACAAATCCAGTGACAACAAGCACGTCAATATATCAGCAAAAAATCACGGAACTACATTTGGAAAATGACGTCCGTATTTTTGTAGCTTACTCAAAAAGTCAGCCTGGTTAGAATTCTTGCTACAATCGGTCTTCCGCAACCCATGTTGTCCTAACAACCAACACACGAGAGAGGTGGTCAGGCTCGGTCGATGGTCGATGCATGTACTCTTTTTCCAGAAGCTCATGATGTCAATCACTGGATTGTCTGATCCAGACTCAATAAATTACACATCATAGCTGGGAGTTTATGTGACGTTAAGCAACAAACAAACGCTAATGAAGTCAAACGGGATTGAACGTCCGCCATGGAGAGCCCCCGTCATTGTTTGGGTATAAGTGTTCATGAACCTTTCAGTAAGTGGTTTTAATTCAAGATATATTACATCTAATCCGATATCCGGCTTTGAACATATTCAGACTTAAAGTATAAATTTCCTGAAGACTCGTTTAAATGAGCCCTATGTGTCCGGATAACAAGAATCAGATGTCAGTATGTTCGCTCTGTCGGTCGTCTTTGTCCTGTCTCAAACTATATCTGCACACGTTACAGGGCCGGAAATCTCGGCAATCAGCCCCAATCGTGTATTCGAAGCCTGATCTAACAAGAACAACATTTATACTTACTGTTTCCATATTTGTTTACGTAAAAAAGCGCAAAAACTGCTGAGCAAAAAAATATATGTAAAAACGCAAGGCGACATATCTTTCTGAGACAAGAGTGCCACTATGGACTACTTTTTGCCCGTGATGACTTCCGTTTGGCGGTGAGTCCTCCTTCCTCGACCACCCCTTTCTTCCAACGAGCGCCCCCTACGTCCGGACGTCAAAGTATTACCGATGGCGGGAGACAGAGCGTACAACCTTGGCGGTCCTCCGAGAAGGCCGAAGCTGCTCGTTACCATCCGGGTATTCCCCTAGGAACCGGAAACCCAATCACATGTCCAAGATGGCGTGTTGCAGCCTGGAGATTGATGCATGAGGGTTATTTTTGTGCGAATACAGACTTTATCTTCAATTCTTTACAGTCGGTGACAGAGTGGGTCTGATATATAATACTGTTGCTTTCTCCGGAGCGCGGGGCAAAGAGCTGGGGGTAAATACGACATGTCTGGTTCTCGAGGAAGCCTGCTGCATCAGTTTAATCGTGGTATAATACCCACCTGGGACACGGGTTCTTGTCGCCTCGAATGGTCGTCATTTATGTATGCCTCCTTGCACCAGCAAGACAAATTCTCAGTCCTCCTATGTCCGAAGGGCATTCAGTTGGGATGGGGGAGTGAGTGCAGTAGTAGTAGTAGCAGTAGCAGTAGTAGCAGTAGTAGTTAGTTAGTTTGTTTGTTGGTTGGTTGGTTCTTTTGGTTGGTTGGCAAAGTTACTTGGCCATTTAATGCCGCACTGAGTTCTATTCTGGGTACACGACGGCGGTCAGTAGATTGTCGTGTCTGGACCTGACAATCCAGTGATTGCCATCATCAAGACTGAACCTCCTCAACCAGCCAGACCACCCTAACCCCCAACACCCATCCCTACCAGCCTTGTAGTAGTGGCAAAAGCAGCAACCAACAGCAGTTGTTTTGTTGTTGTTGTTGTTGTTGTTGTTGTTGTTGTATTAGTAATATTAACAGTAGTGAGTGATGGTAAAGTCGTCTCTGATCCCCGCCGTTATATTGCGGGAATATTGCTAAAGCGGTGTAAAACCCACCTCACTCACTCGTCTCTGATATCAGTACATTATTAATGAGCAAGGAAAAGCAAGGATGGAGTAACCACATATAACAAGAGGCAAAGACCAAACCTCAAACCAACCAGATAGTTCGCCCACGGCAAGCACAACGGAACACCGTAAAGCAATAAACCATGCTCTAACAGGGCAATAAGCCCATGGTTAAAGCGTCCGCTCGTCACGCCGAAGACCCGGGTTCGAATCCCCACATGGGTACAATGTGTGAATACCCATTTCTGGTGTCCCCCGCCGTGATGTTGCTGGAATATTGCTAAAAGCGGCGTAAAACCAAACTCAGTCAGTCAGTCAGTCAGTCTTTCGTACACTTAATACCCAATCTACCATGTGGTGCTGCTATGTAAACTAAGGCTTGAAGTTTGGTTATCAGTGTGTATGAGACAGGAAAGTGTTCATTTATGATGAGGAAGAACATGCGGAAGTGAAACTCTTCCCTTCGTTGTCCCACCCTCCCTGTGGTCCCTCCCGTTCCTAAACCCTCTATCTCCCCTTCCCGTCCCTCCTTGCCCAGTCAATCTATATCTTATGTATTGTCAACAGATAACCCTCTCCCCGTGGAGAGGCGGTGGGGTAGCCTAGTGTTAGCTGGAATAGTGCAGAGTGCGGCGTAAAACTAAACTCACTCACTCGTCACGCCGAGGACCCAGGTTCGATTCCCCACATGGGTAAAATGTCTGAAGCGCATTTCTGGTGTGCCCCACTACGATATTGTTTGAATATTGCTAAAACAAAACTCACTCACTCACTCTCGCCATGGCTGATAAAGCTTATGTATGATAGCTTATCTTATTATTTGTCATTTTCATGTTTAATCTTTGTAAAACGACGTTTTAATTAGTGTTGCTTTTATGGTAAAATCGCATTTTTCATCACGATGTCTCTTTGTAAACATCATAAATGTTATAAATAGATTTTTGAAAAAATATTTTACGTTGACTGATTGTTGCAACCCTTCAGCGTCCCTTGGGGCCTTCTTGCTGTATCAGCCTGGGGCACGACTGAAAGACTGTTCACAGGGGGTGAAACAGAAACAAATATCACTCCAGCTCTATTCTTTATCATCTCAATAAGTCGTTCACTAGGTGGCGTTAGTGCGCGTGCGTGGTTTCTGTTGTAGAAGCACTACTAGTTGCAGCAGTCGTAACAGAAGCAGTAGTAGTAATGGTAATAACTGAAACACCATTGGAAGCAATGGTAGTTCAAGTAGCAGCAGGTGTAGTAGTAGTAAACGTAGTGAGTGACTGAGTGAGTTTTACGCCGCTTTTAGCAATATTTCAGGAATATTACAGCCGGGCACACAGAAATGGTCTTAACACATTGTACCCATGTGAGGAATCGAACCTGGGTCTTTGTCGTGACGAGCGAACGCTTTATCCACTAGGCTACCCCACCGCCCCAGTAGTAGTAGTGGTAGAAGTAGTAGTAGTAGTAGTAGTAGTAGTAGTAGTAGTAGTAGTAGTAGTAGTAGTTGCAGCATCTGTATTAATTCACTATTCTGATTGGGAATTGCAAAGTGGAAAACATATAATCGATATTCAGATCGATATCATGATCGATGAACTGAGGTTCATAGAATTTAAATTAAAAGTTATTAAAAGAGTATTTTGAAAACAACATATTCACAAAGTCAGAAAACAAATTAAAATTGGTACCAATAATGTTGTGTTTGGGTTGGGTATTTCCCTTTCAAAACCAATTTATTCCTGGGTTGGCCACACAATGTAATCTCCACTAAAGCCGTGAATCAGTACATTGTGGCGAGCAGTGCCATCTGGTTGATGTCCATTCATCGTCACTAAAGTAATCGTACAAACTATCAACTGATTCATGATTTACCAGCAGCAAGCAATTTACGAGAAGACGCCACACGGACATTGATTGCCCAGTGGTCAGTAGGAACGCCGCCATGACCAGTGGCCGAGCTAAGCTTCCATTGTCAAAGAAGAAAGACGACATTACTGAGGCACATTTCCAAAATTGATGTGCTGTGGCATTTTAAAGATACATTCGGCAGTTTATTGATATTCTCCTAAGGCCCAAATGTAAACACGAGCGGATAATTGGGACTATATAACTATAAGGCATCGATCTCCCCCAGCCTGTAGTACTGGCATTGGGTTTCGTAGGGCTGTAGCAGTCTGCGTGGCTGTAAATCTACCATGAAATACCATTTGAATATCGTAAAGGGCGGTGATTGGACGATAGCAGTCGCTTTACAGGTTGTCTTCTATCAGGTCCGCGCTATCATGTTGGCGAGACCAGCACATTTGTTAGATTAAAATGGAAAGTTCTCTTTGAACCCGATGAAATAATGCATATGGACCACTGCTAATGGAAGGAATTTTAATGAAATGTGTCTCTGCCCTATTTCGTCTCAGCTTTCATCCGAATCCCTCAACCCTGAGTTCATTTATATTCTTCAAAACACGTCTATTTCGCTCCATTGAACATGTTTACAATGTACAGAATTAATAGGCATCACTGTGTCTAACACTTTTGTTATGAGCAAGGGGAACCGGTGGGATTCTCATATTCAGACATCCATGAGAATAGTCCAAAATGTAAAAATGATGCCGTCGGCTCTCCTGTAGGCAGGTAAAATCGCCCACTTGTGAGATAGATATATGAGCGGAATTGTTATGCGTGTTTGTACTGCACGTAATGTAATGTCAAGTAAACTAAAAGATTGCTAACGGGAAGGGATGTCTGTCTTCCTGTGGGTGTCATCTTTCATCCATTGAACGTCCAGTGGTACATTAGGACAACGACCACATTTAACAGGACACGCACTCACATATACACGAGCGCTCACGAACAAAGCGCAAACTATCGCACGCAGTCACGCCAATACGAACACACTCCCTCGCATACGCACACATGCGCACACTCACATACACACATTCACACATACAATAACGCACACATACAAGCACTCACACATATACTTACCTACACACATACAAATGCACTCCGCCCCGGCGCTCCGCCGTCCACCACCCCACCGCTCCACCGACCCACCATCCCACCACTCCACCAACCCACCGACCCACCGTCCCACCGCTCCACCGACCCATCGACCAACCGACCCACCGACCAACCGACCCACAGCTCTATAGCCCTACCGCCCCACCACTGTCCCATCGTCCCACCGCCCCACTGCCCCACCGCTCCACCGCACCACCGTCCCACCGTCCCACCGCCCCCTGCGTCCCACCTCCCCACCGGCACACCGCCCCACCGGCACACCGCCCCAACGCTCTATCGTGCCACCGCTCCCGCCTATCCCACCGTCCCACCGATCCACCGACCCACCGACCCACCGTCCCACCGCTCCACCGCCCACCGCCCCATCGACCCCCACTCAGCCCACCGCTCCACCGCCCCACCGCACCACAGCACCTGCCCCACCCTACCACTGTCCAGCCGCCCCACCACACCACTCTATCGCCCCATCGCCCAACCATCCCACCGCTCCACTGTCCCAGTGCTCCACCGCCACCACCACACCACTGCACCACCGCCCCACCGTCCCATCGCCCCCCACCTTCCTACCGTCCAACCGCCCCCACCACACCCCTACCGCTCCACCGACCAACCACAGCTCCACCGACCCACTGTCCCACCGTCCCACTGCTCAACCGACCCACCGCTCTATCGCCCCATCACACCACCACACAACCCCCTATCGACCCACCATTCCACCGACCACCACTGACTTGCCATTCCACCGCTCCACCGCCCCAACGCTCTGTCATCGCAATCCTGGCCCCATCCGGCCCCACTGTCCCACCATTCTATCGCCCCACCGTCCCACCGCATCCACCGCTCCTGGCCCCATCGGCCCACCCACCGCCCCACCGCCCCAACGTTTCAATGCCCCATTTCCATCCCAATCCTGACCCACTGTCCCACCGCTCCACCGCCATGGAGGTTTCTGGGTAATATTTAGCTGGATATTTCTGTCATCCTGCAATCCTGGCCCCACCGTCCCACCACTCCACCGCCATGGAGGTTTCTGGGTAATATTTAGCTGAATATTTCTGTCATCCTGCAATCCTGGCCCCACCGCCCCACCGACCCACCGCTCCACCGCCATGGAGGTTTCTGGGTAATATTTAGCTGAATATTTCTGTCATCCTGCAATCCTGGCCCCACCGTCCCACCGCTCCACCGCCATGGAGGTTTCTGGGTAATATTTAGCTGAATATTTCTGTCATCCTGCAATCCTGGCCCCACCGTCCCACCGCTCCAACGCCATGGAGGTTTCTGGGTAATATTTAGCTGAATATTTCTGTCATCCTGCAATCCTGGCCCCACCGTCCCTACTCCACCGCCATGGAGGTTTCTGGGTAATATTTAGCTGAATATTTCTGTCATCCTGCAATCCTGGCCCCACGGCCCCACTGACCCCACCGCCATGGAGGTTTCTGGGTAATATTTAGCTGAATATTTCTGTCATCCTGCAATCCTGGCCCCACCGTCCCACCGCTCCACCGCCATGGAGGTTTGTGGGTAATATTTAGCTGAATATTTCTGTCATCCTGCAATCCTGGCCCCACCGGCCCCACCGCTCCACCGCCATGGAGGTTTCTGGGTAATATTTAGCTGAATATTTCTGTCATCCTGCAATCCTGGCCCCCCACCCTGGCTCCACCGCCATGGAGGTTTCTGGGTAATATTTAGCTGAATATTTCTGTCATCCTGCAATCCTGGCCCCACCGCTCCACCGCCATGGAGGTTTCTGGGTAATATTTAGCTGAATATTTGTGTCATCCTGCAATCCTGGCCCCACCGCCCCACCGCTCCACCGCCATGGAGGTTTCTGGGTAATATTTAGCTGAATATTTGTGTCATTCTGCAATCCTGGCCCCACCGTCCCACCGCTCCACCGCCATGGAGGTTTCTGGGTAATATTTAGCTGAAGTCTCGTTCCATGATAAAACACAATCGCGATTAGTCAATCAAATTCAGCGTGGCCTGAAGTCTATTTCAATCTGTGGTTTTTCCCTTTGTCTAAACTTAGACACAACACCCAACAATCTCAAATACCTGAAGTGAGCATTCGCCATCGTTTGTAATGTTTCGGTGAAAAAGTTAAAAAAATAGTCTGTGGACACATGGGAGTTTAGGGGTGATTGTATAGGAAATTCAAGCATGTCTTATTCAGTCTGCCGTTGCCTGTGACAATTCAGGTTTGATAAATCCATTTTACAGTTACCAAGATGTTATTATGTTGTTCAGGTATATATAAAGGGAAACCACAATTTTAAAAATGTGTAAGTATGTGTTGTTGTTTTTAGTACTAAAAAAGAAGACCTTGAATAGACTATGTACAGCGCTTATTCCACGGGATCCAGTAGTGTGATATATGTTTATAAGAACCGCTTGTGGCTTGAATACGTCACATCGGTCATTTACTGCGAAGATACCGTATTTATCTCATTGAATGTGTTAAGGATGCAATTGCTCAGTGGTCAACCAGAGTGTTGGTGTAAAACCTGATTTGGAACCAGTTTTCTTCACATCCTTATAAATAAGCCTGTTTTTATCAAAACGTTATGAGAAAATTGTTTCATTGAACACGAAAGTTTTCTGCTGTTACAATGACAACTTGCTGCTGTGCTGCTGTCGGATTTCCCTGTCGATGACTGTCCTGTACTTGCAAAGTCACTACATCATCTGACTGCACCCCTTTCCTCAACCCCCGTATCTCCCCTTCCCGTCCCTCCTTGCCGTGTCAATGTACATCCTACGTACTGTCAGCAGATATCACTCTCCGGTGGGGTAGCCTAGTGTTTAAAGCCTTCGCTCGTCACGCCTAGACCCCGTGAAGATCCGAGTTAGAATTGATCTTCAGTAACCCATGCTTGTCGTAAGAGGCGACTAACAGGATCGGGTGGTCAGGCTCGCTGATTTGGTTGACACATGTCATCGGTTCCCAACTGCGCAGATGGATGCTCATGCTGTTTATCACTAGATTGTCTGGTCCAGACTCGATTATCTACAGACCGCCGCCGGTGGGGTAGTCTGGTGGTTAAAGCGTTTGCTCGTCACGCCGAAGACCCGGGTTCGATTCCCCACATGGGTACAATGTGTGAAGCCCATTTTTGGTGTGATATTGGTCACTCACTCACTCACTCGCTCACTCACTCACTCACTCACTACAATGTGTGAAGCCCACTGCTCACTCACTCACTCACTCACTCACTCACTCACTCACTCGAAACGTGAAGGTCCGGGTTAGAATATTGATCAGTAACCCATGATTGTCGTAAAAGGCGACTAACGGGATCGGGTGGTCAGGCTCGCTGATTTGGTTGACACATGTCATCGGTTCCCAACTGCGCAGATTGATGCTCATGCTGTTAATCACTGGATTGTCTGGTCCAGACTCGATTATTTATAGATGGAATCTTGCTCAGTGCGGCGTAAAACTAAATTCACTCACTCATTCCACCTACCTTACAGTCTGTATGTGCCTCTTTGGTACACAAGGGAACGGCATTACCTAATTTGACTCACCCGTGACCGAAATCATAATAACCGGTGCAGTCATTTCCAGTTTGTGCGCGGTAGCTGTAAATGGCTCTCTTCTTATGTTTAGAAATTGGAAACACTATGTAAGTTTGTCCCAGAGTGACAGAAGTGGTCACGAACATGTGATACATATGTGCACTAACCATACAAGAAACAATTTTGACACGTGCAAACACATTATCACATGATAAACATCTTGTCATATTATACACATCTGGTACATAGTTAAAAACGTCCTATCACATACAGTCAACATCTTCCCATGACATGCATTCAGCATCTTCCCACGACATGCAATCAACATCTTCCCACGACATCCATCAACATCTTCCCACAACATACAGTCAACATCTTCCCACGACAAACAGTCAACATCTTCCCACAACATACAGTCAGCATCTGGTCATATTATATACATGTACATCTGGTACATAGTTAAAAACGTCCTATCACATACAGTCAACATCTTCCCATGATGTTTTCAACCCTCTCTATGAAAACTTGTTTCCTAAACTGCCAAGCCTGGTTCCACCACTTGGAATCAGAATTCAACCACACATATCTGCAGCTAAAATTGATCTCAATAGCATAGCACCCTACCGACTCCTGTCTTCACCACCCTGGCAGATGGTGAAACCACAAGTTGATCTTACCCTCACTAAATTCAAAAAGTCTGAAACAAATCCCTTCGTGTTCCAGCAGGAATACATCCAGTTACGTTCCAAGTATGACACCCATTGATCCATTTTCACAGACGGATCCAAGGATGAGGGCCAAGTTGCCAGTGCTACAGTCATTTAAGACTGTCTCCTCTAGGATCCCCGACAACAGTTCCATTTTCACTGCCGAGGCCAAAGCTATCTTTTCAGCTTTGACCTATATTAAACAGCAGAATCATTCCAAAAACTTCATCGTTTTCACAGATTCATTATCTTGCCTTCAAACACTGCAAAATGTTACTTCAAGTCACCCAATCATTCTGGACATTTTAGAACTTTACAACGACCTCTCTACTGGCCAATGTGACATCGTCCTCTGCTGGTTGCCGGGTCACGTCGGCATAGCAGGTAACACAAAAGCCGATGCTGCAGCAAAAGCAGCTCTTGACAAGCCCTTATCTCCCCTGCTGATCCCGTACAGTGATTTCAAACCCACTATCAAAAGCTATACTCGGGACCTCATGCAAAAACGATGGGACACTCAAGTAGGAAGAAATAAACTGTATGAATTGAAACCAACAATTGGTTATATCTACTTGGGTTGTCAGTCAAGACGTGATGAAGTAATTTTACGACGATGTCGTATTGGCCACAGTCGATTTACTCATGACTATCTGCCGAAAACGGATGGGGATGGACCCCCCATGTGTGTCTCTTGCGATGAGGTTTTCACCATCAAGCATATTCTGCTTGAATGCGTGGACTTATCGTCTGCAAGGGACTCACATTATGATGCAACAAACCTAAAAGATCTGTTCTCCCGCGTGAGCGCTCATCTGATAGTGAACTACCTGAGGGAAGTTGATCTGTATCATAAATTGTAACTGTGAAATGTGACTAACAAATTGCCTGCCTTTAAATTCGATGCTATGACTTTTTCTGCTTTTAAATGACAATGTAATGAATATATGTTTTTGAAATTAAACTCATTCCGAGTATGTACTTACAATGTTTATTAATGCAAACTTGTTCTCGTCACTTTTTGGCTGGAATAATGCCGATGTGACGCAAAACCCAACTCAACTCAACTCAACCATAACATACAGTCAACATCTTCCCACGACGTACAGTCAATATCTTCCCATAACATACAGTAACATCATCCCACGACATACAGTCAACATCTTCCCATAACATAGTCACCATCTTCCCTTGACATACAGTCAACATCTTCCCATGACATACAGTCAACATCTTCCCACGACATACAGTCAACATCTTCCCACGACATACAGTCAACATCTTCACACAACATACAGTCACCATCTTCCCTTGACATACAGTCAATATCTTCCCATGACATAGTCAACATCTTCCCAGGAGATACAGTCAACATCTCCCCACAACATACAGTCAACATCTTCCCATGACACACAGTCAACATCTTCACACAACATACAGTCAACATCTTCCCACGACATACTGTCAACATCTTCCCACGACATACAGTCAACATCTTCCCACAACATACAGTCAACATCTTCCCATGACATACAGTCAACATCTTCCCATGACACAGTCAACATCTTCCCATGACACAGTCAACATCTTCCGACGACACACAGTCAACATCTTCCCACAACATACAGTCAACATCTTCCCACGGCATACAGTCAACATCTTCCCATGACACACAGTCAACATCTTCCCACAACATACAGTCATCAACTTCCCACGACATACAGT